AACAGAGGGATTGAGGGCCCTGCTCAGTGAGTTTACATGTTAGAGGGAGTGGGGTATAGTGACACAGTAACAGAGGGATTGAGGGCCCTGCTCAGTGAGTTTACATGTTAGAGGGAGCGGGGTATAGTGACACAGTAACAGAGGGATTGAGGGCCCTGCTCAGTGAGTTTACATGTTAGAGGGAGTGGGGTATAGTGACACTGTAACAGAGGGATTGAGAGCCCTGCTCAGTGAATTTACATGTTAGAGGGAGTGGGGTATAGTGACAGTAACAGAGGGATTGAGGGCCTGCTCAGTGAGTTTACATGTTAGAGGGAGTGGGGTATAGTGACACAAAAGGTAGGGGTAGAGTAGTAAAGTATGTTGCTAGGAAATAATAAACTTTGACGGCAAAAAAAAAAAAAAAAAAGCGTGCTGAGAATGATTTTCTGTTTAACTTGACAGAGTATATAACCACTTCTGCTTCTAATACATAAAAAGTTAAAATATTGGTATTTGTACTGTATTAATCACATAGGCGTGCGCAGCCTATTGCATTAGGGTGTGCACCCTAAAGCACAAGCACACGCCGCGTATATGTGTGTGTATATACATATACACACACACACACACACACACACACACACACACACACTCTGCTGTGTGTGTGCTGTGAGGGTGTTTGTGTGTGTGTGCGCTTGTGAGGGTGCTGTTTGTGTATGAGGGTACTGGAAGTGTGCTGTGTGTGTTAGGGTCCTGTTAGTGTGCTGTGTGAGGGTGCTGTTTGTGTGCTTTATGTGTTTGTGTGCTGTATGTTTGGGTGATTTGTGGGGGCAGAGTAGTTAATAAATAATTAACTAATCTGGGACGGGACCGTGCTTGCGGGGCTAGAGTTCACTCTTGTGAGATCTGAGGCTCAGATATCGCGAGAGGAACCCGGCGGAGCTCCCCGGGTCCTCTCCTGCCTCCCTCCCTGCCTGTGGGTCAGTGGGGAGGGAGGCTGAGAGCAGAGCCGGCGCTCGGATGGCACCGGCTCTGCATGAGCTGACAGGGGAGATCCTGAGATCTCCCCTGCCGGTCTCACTCCATAGGCGGGCTGCGGGGATTAGGGTGTGCCCAGGCCTATGATTAATCGTGTCGCTATTTTGGCTCTGTGGTTTCTAATAGAAATTTTCACGTTTCTTGTGGCCATGCATGTACAGGCAGAGAATCTTCATAAAATTAAGTCATAATTCAGAGAAATTCTACCTGGTGTACACATGTGCTTCTCACAGAGAGTGGACGCAGCTGGTGGCTGGACTTGAGCCGGAGATATGTTTTATTACAGCTTTGAAAACGCCTCCTGCGAGAGAAGATTAGTAACTTTCATTATGTGAAACAAAAGGCTGATTTCTATTTAGGAACATCACCCGAGAGGTAACGGTTTGCCTACTTAGGGATTTAGACATTAAACCAAATGAAAACATAGTAAATGTCCCTCACAATGCTGAATCTTTTACCGAGATAAAATTCGCTAATTTTAGAATTTATCGTTTACACACTGAAACTTTTTTTTTGCCTTTTGTGTAAATCTTAGCTTCCTTCTCTTTTTTTCTAAAGAATAAAGTTTATTTTAATATTCGTTTTTGTGTGTGTGTGTGTGTGTGTGTATCAACTCAAAGCATTTCCCTTTGCACAATAAGTACAACGTGCTGTAATAACATAAGCCTTAATATTTAATAACTTGTAACACTACAATGAGCTGAAGTGGTTATGGTGTGTGGAAAGTCATTCTAAATGTACAAAGTGTAAGTGCAGTTTCGGGTTACGTTGTACAAGTTTAGCTATTTTCCTTCCAGGTTCATTTTCCCTGTTCTCACATGATATCGGACATTAGTGAAAGCATCTTGTTTTACCTGATTTTTCAGGAATTAAGGGCAATTCTCACCTTTCTCTCGCCGTACATACGTGATTATCCAGTTGAACATGCATTATTAAGGTGTGCTCTGCCTTTAAATTACATTATTTCCAAAATTGTGCAGTGTTAAAGATACAGGTACTAAATAAAATGCACACACAGAAAAATGGAGATTACACTTACAACACTGGAAAATAAAATAAACATCCGCACCTATAGGAGAGAGGAAAACAACACCATATAAAACCTTTAGCAACAATTACACCTGAAAATGGTCACTCACACATCAAGCAGATAAAGTTCTATACATTCTGTCTGGAGAAGAATCCAAGGCTTCTAGCTTGCCAAACACCATACACTCACAATGGACATACTTTAAAACGAAAGAAATCTCAATGTATCTTTCCTGGTAAAATATTTTATAAATAATAATGTCGCTAGCAGGGGGCAAGGTTGTGACGTCACAGCGTGATCAATGAATTTTTGCCATATTACAATTTCCTGAATAAGTAGATTGTAAGTGAAAAAGAATATCTTCCAAAATTAGGAAGTAATACCATCTTGATTAACAACAAAGTAAATGTTTCAAACTTAAACTAACCCTACCCCAACCACTAACCCTACTCCACCCTTTAACCCTACCCCAACCCTTAAACCTAACCCTAACCCTTCCCCACCCTTTAACCCTACCTCAACCCTTAAACCTAACCCTACCCCAACCCTTAACCTTACCCCTAACCCTACTCCACCCTTTAACCCTACCCCAACCACTAACCCTACCTCTACCCCAACCACTAACCCCAACCCTCTCCTGTTTTGCCACTTTGGCAATTCAGCTCGGCATTCCGAAATTCAGCACTTCAGACATTCGGAAGCATCCGAAGTTCTGAAATTCATCCAAATTTGCATTCGGAACGAAATGAATTGCAGATGTCTAGAGGTTACAGGGAGCAGACGGGAGGCATTAGGGCAGTTTAGGTTGTTTATTGGGATGTTAAAGTCCCCAAGTATGAGGGAGTGCTAGAGGAGAGGAAGTGGGGTAGCCAGGAAGAAAAGTTTTCAATGAATAGCCTAGAATGACTAGGAGGGTTGGAGGGTGGTAGATGATAGCAATTCTTAAAGGATTGGGTTTAAATAGGCGGACAGTGTGAACTTCAAAGGAAGTAAAGGATAGGGCAGGGAGGACAGGTTGAAAAGTACATTGAGGGGGAGAGAAGGATGCCTACACCGCCACCTTTACAGTTGAGTCTGGGAGTGTGAGAGAATTGTAGCCCACTGAAACATAAATCGGCAGGAGTAGCGCTATCAGAGGGGGACAGCCAGGTCTGAGTGCCAGTATTGTAAGTGCGTTAGAGATGACGAGGTCGTGTATAGCTGTTGATTTAATATTACTACAGATTGAACGGGCGTTGGTAAAGGAAGATAAACTGCAGGGTATGTGAATGAGGTTTGTGTAGTGTCTGGTTGTCTTAGTGTGAGCAGACGAGGTGAAGGGCCCTGGGTTGGGTGAGACATCACCAGCTGCTAGAAGTAGGAGGAGAAATAGAAAAAGTGAGTGCAATAAAATATAACTTTTATTAGTAAATAGTAAAATAAATGGTGGTTCTCTAATAATAGATATGTTATTTTCGAGTGGACAAGAAAACCAGTAAAGAGATAATAATGCTACTGGGCCCGGATTACCCCAAATAATATCGAGTTATCTAAGGCAATACAAATACATATATATTCAGATATATATTGCCCACTACAAAAAATATGGCAAAACAGACCTGGAGCCAACTAGAGTTCCAGTCGAAAAAAAAAGATAATAAAGTACAGAAAACATAATTAAAAACCTAAACAAAATGATAACAATGATGAGGTTCTGTTCTAAAGTTTTCAGAAACCTTCACCCAGTGATATTTGCTATACTCTAAGCCGTTACTGGAACGTTTGTATACAAAGTATCAAGCTCCGGTCTGCCACAGTGAGAAATAGATATTTAGTTCCAAATGTCAATTATAACAGCTAAATAGCTGCATCGATCAGCAACAGTGAGAATTCACATAGCCACGTCAGCTGGAGACAGTATAATAACCTGCCATGTCATACAAGATCAAAAACCAAGAGCACAGCATCTCATTCTCCAATAGTAAAAATTACTAATGTTGTCAAAAGACTGAAGTGGTAGAGTTAAATCGGCGTCCCTAAAACTGTGCTGTAATCTGATCTTCAACCATCAGTTTGGGAACACCGAGCTCCCCTGACGCAATGTATACATTGTATCATTCACACACACACACACACTGTGTTATACATTGTATCATTCACACACACACACTGTTATACATTGTATCATTCTCACACTGTGTTATACATTGTATCATTCACACACACACACACACACACACACACACTGTGTTATACATTGTATCATTCACACACTGTGTTATACATTGTATCATTCACACACACTGTGTTATACATTGTATCATTCTCACACTGTGTTATACATTGTATCATTCACACACACACACTGTTATACATTGTATCATTCTCACACTGTGTTATACATTGTATCATTCACACACACACACACACACACACACACACTGTGTTATACATTGTATCATTCACACACTGTGTTATACATTGTATCATTCACACACACTGTGTTATACATTGTATCATTCTCACACACTGTGTTATACATTGTATCATTCTCACACACTGTGTTATACATTGTATCATTCTCACACTGTGTTATACATTGTATCATTCACACACACACACACACACACACACACACTGTGTTATACATTGTATCATTCACACACTGTGTTATACATTGTATCATTCACACACACTGTGTTATACATTGTATCATTCACACACTGTGTTATACATTGTATCATTCTCACACACAGTGTTATACATTGTATCATTCACACACACACACACACACACACACTGTGTTATACATTGTATCATTCACACACTGTTATACATTGTATCATTCACACATACTGTGTTATACATTGTATCACTCACACACACACTGTGTTATACATTGTATCATTCACACACTGTGTTATACATTGTATCATTCACACACACTGTGTTATACATTGTATCATTCTCACACACTGTGTTATACATTGTATCATTCACACACACTGTGTTATACATTGTATCATTCTCACACACTGTGTTATACATTGTATCATTCTCACACACTGTGTTATACATTGTATCATTCACACACACTGTGTTATACATTGTATCATTCACACACTGTGTTATACATTGTATCATTCACACACACTGTGTTATACATTGTATCATTCACACACACACTGTGTTATACATTGTATCATTCACACACTGTGTTATACATTGTATCATTCTCACACACTGTGTTATACATTGTATCACTCACACACTGTGTTATACATTGTATCATTCACACACACTGTGTTATACATTGTATCATTCACACACACTGTGTTATACATTGTATCACGCACACACTGTGTTATACATTGTATCATTCACACACACTGTGTTATACATTGTATCATTCACACACTGTGTTATACATTGTATCATTCTCACACACTGTGTTATACATTGTATCACTCACACACTGTGTTATACATTGTATCATTCACACACACTGTGTTATACATTGTATCATTCACACACACTGTGTTATACATTGTATCATTCACACACACACTGTGTTATACATTGTATCATTCACACACACTGTGTTATACATTGTATCACACACACACTGTGTTATACATTGTATCATTCTCACACACTGTGTTATACATTGTATCATTCACACACACTGTGTTATACATTGTATCATTCACACACACACTGTGTTATACATTGTATCATTCACACACACTGTGTTATACATTGTATCACACACACACTGTGTTATACATTGTATCATTCTCACACACTGTGTTATACATTGTATCATTCACACACACTGTGTTATACATTGTATCATTCACACACACACTGTGTTATACATTGTATCATTCACACACACTGTGTTATACATTGTATCACACACACACTGTGTTATACATTGTATCATTCTCACACACACTGTGTTATACATTGTATCATTCACACACACTGTGTTATACATTGTATCATTCACACACACACACACACACACTGTGTTATACATTGTATCATTCACACACACACACACTGTGTTATACATTGTATCATTCACACACACACACACACTGTGTTATACATTGTATCATTCACACACACTGTGTTATACATTGTATCATTCACACACACTGTGTTATACATTGTATCACTCACACACTGTGTTATACATTGTATCATTCACACACACTGTGTTATACATTGTATCACTCACACACTGTGTTATACATTGTATCACTCACACACTGTGTTATACATTGTATCATTCACACACACTGTGTTATACATTGTATCATTCACACACACTGTGTTATACATTGTATCACTCACACACACTGTGTTATACATTGTATCATTCACACACACTGTGTTATACATTGTATCATTCTCACACACTGTGTTATACATTGTATCATTCTCACACACACTGTGTTATACATTGTATCATTCATACACACACACTGTGTTATACATTGTATCATTCTCACACACTGTGTTATACATTGTATCATTCTCACACACTGTGTTATACATTGTATCATTCACACACACACTGTGTTATACATTGTATCATTCTCACACACACTGTGTTATACATTGTATCATTCTCACACACTGTGTTATACATTGTATCATTCACACACACACTGTGTTATACATTGTATCATTCTCACACACTGTGTTATACATTGTATCATTCTCACACACTGTGTTATACATTGTATCATTCTCACACACACTGTGTTATACATTGTATCATTCATACACACACACTGTGTTATACATTGTATCATTCACACACACTGTGTTATACATTGTATCATTCACACACACTGTGTTATACATTGTATCATTCACACACACTGTGTTATACATTGTATCATTCTCACACACTGTGTTATACATTGTATCATTCACACACACTGTGTTATACATTGTATCATTCTCACACACTGTGTTATACATTGTATCATTCTCACACACTGTGTTATACATTGTATCATTCACACACACACTGTGTTATACATTGTATCATTCTCACACACTGTGTTATACATTGTATCATTCTCACACACTGTGTTATACATTGTATCATTCTCACACACACTGTGTTATACATTGTATCATTCATACACACACACTGTGTTATACATTGTATCATTCACACACACTGTGTTATACATTGTATCATTCTCACACACTGTGTTATACATTGTATCATTCACACACACACTGTGTTATACATTGTATCATTCTCACACACTGTGTTATACATTGTATCATTCTCACACACTGTGTTATACATTGTATCATTCTCACACACACACACTGGACATACATTGTATCATTCATTTTACACCTATGTTGCCACATTGTATCATTCACACACTGTATTTATACATTATATCATTCACACACACACTGTGTTATACATTGTATCATTCACACACTGTGTTATACATTGTATCATTCACACACACTGTGTTATACATTGTATCATTCTCACACACTGTGTTATACATTGTATCATTCTCACACACTGTGTTATACATTGTATCATTCTCACACTGTGTTATCCATTCCTTGCTCAGTGAGTGAGGGGGCGTGGTTTGGACTCTGGCTCCGCCCTCCCGCTGTATCCACGTGTTACTCTCAGAGTGTCTGGCAGAGTGGGCGTGCCTACGGAATGGGTGGAGCCAATCGCTGAGGCAGGTGATCGTGGTGGGTGTGGCCAGGCGGGGTTGCACGGGGCGGGGTTACTTGGTGTGGGTGTGGTCGGGCGTGGTGACGTCAGTGCCGGTTGTTGACGTGGCCTGGTCGGAGCGGTTCCTGTCAGAGTTACCGGAGCCGCCATGAGCGACCCTCACAGACAGGACATAGCGGCCATCTTCAAACGGCTCCGCTCCGCGCCCACCAACAAGGCGAGTCCGGGGACTGGGGAGACCGGGGATTAATGGGTAACTGGGAGACTGGGGACACGGGGTAAACTGGGGAGACTGGGGGACACGGGTAACCATGGGGAGACTGGGGACACGGGGTAACCATGGGGAGACTGGGGGACACGGGTAACCATGGGGAGACTGGGGACACGGGCAACTGGGACTGAGGGGACAAGTAAACTGGGAGGCTGGGGACACGTGGGTAACCGGGGTGGCTGGGGACACGGGCAACCGGGAGACTGAGGGGGACACGGCAAATCCTCGGGAGACTGAGGGGGAGACACGGGCAAATCCGGGGATACTGGGAGACACGGGGTAAACTGGGGACAATGGGTAACTGGGGTGGCTGGGGAGACACGGGGTAAACTGGGACACAAACCGGGGTGGCTGGGGGACACGGGGCAAACTGGGAGACTGAGGGGGGACACGGGGTAACTGGGAGACTGAGGGGGGACAGCTGGGTAACCGGGGACACGGGCAACTGGGAGACTGGGGCCACAAAATCCGGGGATACTGGGGAGACACGGCAACTGGGGACAAAATCCGGGGACTGGGGGACACGGGGCAAACTGGGAGACTGAGGGGGGACACGGGCAACCGGGGAGACTGGGGGGATACACGGGGTAAACTGGGATAATTGGGGAGACACGGGGTAACTGGGACACGGGTAAACGGGGATACTGGGGACACGGGTAACTGGGGTGGACACGGGTAACCGGGGACACAAAAATCCGGGGACTGGGGACACGGGGAGAATGACATGGTGGAGAAATGACACGGCAACGGGGAGAATGACACGGGTAACGGGAGAATGACACTGGTAACCGGGGAATGACGGGTAACGGGGAGAGACACGGGGAGAATGGCGGGGAGAGAGACATGGGGTAAACTGGGGCCGAGAGAGACATCAAATCGTGGGGGGAGAGACACGGGGTAACCGGGGGGAGACGAGGTAACCATGGGGAGACTAGAGCTGGTACATGGGTGGGTCAGAGAAAACAGGGGGGTGGGGTCACACAGGGTAAACATGGGGAGCTTTGACATGGCGCACAGGGCAACAGCTGGGTCACTTGGGGGGAGAATAGGGAGTGCAACAGCTTGGATATTGTGCAACTGTACCCAAAACATGGAGGCTGATAGGTGGCGGAGGTCAGTAGAAACTGGGGGGGGGGGGGTTTGAGTAGGCATCTGCTACTGAGAGGGTGCTATAAAAAGCAGCTGGTACTGATTCAGGTAGAACTGGTAGATATTGGGTTAGGTGGCAGTTGGTACAAAAGGATATGGAGCTGGGGGTGAGAGGGACTTGGGGCAGTGAGATTGCAGAGAGGCTATCTGTTCTTGGGGTATCGCTGGTTGTGTCTCATAGCTTCTATTGATTCTGAGAAGCACTCCTTTTTTAGAATGACTATTGAAATAAATTTGTTTTATTATCACAAGGGTCACCAATTAGATTAACACACTGCTTCTTATTGAAACCAGATAGGAAACCGCAAATAAACCTGTTTTTTTTCCCATAACTTTATTTGTTTGTTGGGTTTTTTTAACTAGAAAAGTTAAATTCCCACCTGTAAAAGAAACAGAACTTATTTTTATTGTATTGCTGGTAGCTTCACATTTTTCTATATGTGTATCTTTCAATTTATATAACGTGTCCCTTCTATTGAATTCTCTATTAGTGAGGAAGATTCAATCAGTTGAGTGATCAGGTGCTGTCTGACTTTGGAAACTTTTATCTGCGTTCGTTATATCTCTCTAATTAGCTCATACTGAAGGACAAACACTGTTACTCACTAAAGTGAGAATTGCGGGAATCTAAAGTGAACTGTAAATTTAAGGACAAAACAGACAAACTGAAAGGGTAGCTGATTTGGAAAGTTTTTAAAGTGTGTGTATGTGAAAAAAAAATTAAATAAATATATATTTTTTTACCATGTTGTGTTTTGAAGTGGTGATGGTGCATGCAGTCTGTATGTGCAGCATTTGCGCAGTTCAGAGACCCCGGAATGTAAGCGGTTAATGACAAATTGTGCTTTCATGCTGAAAATGGTTAGAATATGTGTTTTTCCACAAACTGAGCAGCGAGCACCAGCTGATCTCTTCCTTCCCCTTTGGGACGGGGGGGGGGTGACACAGGGTGCTAGTTGTGATATTTATTGCACAGGTTGCCTGGGTTCCCTGGAGGCTGTTTGCTGTGCAGAAGAAATTTGTTTGCAGTTTCTGTTCTAATTATACATATTATCCAGTGCTTTCATTCCTGGCAAGCTGGTGTCTGATTTTGTTAAAGGGGCTCTCGTCCTCCTTGCATAGGCTGTGGCGCTCCTCTCTCTACTGACTTTCTGCTTATAGCTGCTCCAAATAATTTCATCCCAATTTTAATGGCATCATGGCGAAGAAGAAGTTCACAAGAAGTTGTATGTGCCCAGTATCTGCTGTGACTGCTTCCATGCAGTTATTCTGTTATGTAATACAATTTTTACATGAATTACACACTGCCCATATATCTGTGCATAATCTCACTTTAATTCTGCGTTTTCTTGCTTATTAAATATTGCGTTATCGATCTGCTTATCTTTAATAATTTGCCATCCTGTAAATCCTATGACATTATGTTTTTAGTTTTGGAAATTTATCTGTTGTTTAGATGGGTGTTTTATCCCCCACTCCAGCTGTGACAGAACCATCTGTCTGCTGGATTTTTGCCCGTTCGTCTGTTTGTCCCCGTTCGTATGAATGGCTGGGTTCTATAGCCCAGCCATTCGAATGACTCTTTTTCCCGAACAAATCTGCCGAACGAACGGCCACCCAAGTGAGGAGTGTGCTGCAGGTTAACAAAGTGATCACCATTATAACGTTGTGGTTAACCGCAGACACTTCTCAATTAAACCGAACTCAGGGTGGTCGTCGTTCGTATGTCGACCACGAGGCAGCGGCCATTTTAAATCATGCGAACGCTCAGCGGTGTTTGGCTCTATTTCTATGGAACGGAAAACGGACACTTTTTCTGTCGAACACCGCTGAAACAAGGGAACGCCTGGCTGCCTCCACGAAAGCATGCGAACACCGGCCGTTCGGGAGATTGAGAGCATACAAAAGACTTAACCCAGATAGCCCTCCCATGGAGTCATTCGTATACCGAAAGACTGTAAGAACTTTGACTCCATGGCGATTGAACTATGTGTGTGGGATCTGAGCGCTATTCGCTAATAATATGCACTCAGATCCAGGCTATCTGGGGACATGTAATACGAATGGGAAATGTTCAGTTTTCATGTAGTTATGCATTTTTATGTCTTTTATTATTTTATGTTTAAAATGGCGACTGTCCTTGTCCTGGAGTTAATTGAGTTACTTGGTAATTAACTCCAGGACAGAGGGGAGGGAATCAGAATGCACTGTGGGTAAGAGATGTGACTGTGTGTCAGAAATGTCCTTCTATCTGTCTGTAATTTAAGTCTTCCATTTGGTCCCCTAGGGGAGTGTCCACCAGGTGGGAGACCTGCATAAATACGGGCAGGTAGCCCACAGTAAAACCAGATCTTATTTGACCCTCAATGCGGAGCTTCTGTCTCGTTATTGGGGGGATTTCTTCTTCACGGTTAGAGACTGCTGGATGGAACTTAAGCCGCTTTGGGGATATTATTGTTCGACGGTTCATAGCAGTTCGTATATTGCCGTTCGGGAGTTTGGAGCCGTTCGTGGATTTCGATCGGGAGATTGGCGCTTCCCCTGCATTTGGTTCGTGGGTTACGGAGTAAGCGAACAGAGACTGTACTGCAGCCGGGGAAGGTTTACTAAACGGCGGTTTGGCTTAAAGACACGGGAGGTGTCTTAACACCAGCATTACCACATGTTTCCAATATGTCTTGCTTGGTAATTATACTCCCGGCAGCCTGAGGTTTCAGGTCGGAAATGCTGTGAGATGGATGCAGGGTACCAATCCTTGTTCTTGCTGGGAATGCTGAGAGATGGATACAGGGTACCAATCCTTGCCCTTGCTGAGAATGCTGAGAGATGGATGCAGGGTACCAATCCTTGCCCTTGCTGGGAATGCTGTGAGATGGATGCAGGGTACCAATCCTTGCCCTTGCTGGGAATGCTGAGAGATGGATGCAGGGTACCAATCCTTGCCCTTGCTGAGAATGCTGAGAGATGGATGCAGGGTGCCAATCCTTGCCCTTGCTGTGAGATGGATGCAGGGTGCCAATCCTTGCCCTTGCTGTGAGATGGATGCAGGGTGCCAATCCTTGCCCTTGCTGAGAGATGGATGCAGGGTGCCAATCCTTGCCCTTGCTGAGAGATGGATGCAGGGTGCCAATCCTTGCCCTTGCTGAGAGATGGATGCAGGGTGCCAATCCTTGCCCTTGCTGAGAGATGGATGCAGGGTGCCAATCCTTGCCCTTGCTGAGAGATGGATGCAGGGTGCCAATCCTTGCCCTTGCTGGGAGATGGATGCAGGGTGCCAATCCTTGCCCTTGCTGAGAGATGGATGCAGGGTGCCAATCCTTGCCCTTGCTGAGAGATGGATGCAGGGTGCCAATCCTTGCCCTTGCTGAGAGATGGATGCAGGGTGCCAATCCTTGCCCTTGCTGAGAGATGGATGCAGGGTGCCAATCCTTGCCCTTGCTGAGAGATGGATGCAGGGTGCCAATCCTTGCCCTTGCTGAGAGATGGATGCAGGGTACCAATCCTTTCCCTTGCTGGGAATGCTGAGAGATGGATGCAGGGTACCAATCCTTTCCCTTGCTGGGAATGAGAGATGGATGCAGGGTACCAATCCTTTCCCTTGCTGGGAATGCTGAGAGATGGATGCAGGGTACCAAACCTTTCCCTTGCTGGGAATGCTGAGAGATGGATGCAGGGTACCAATCCTTTCCCTTGCTGGGAATGCTGAGAGATGGATGCAGGGTACCAATCCTTTCCCTTGCTGGGAATGCTGAGAGATGGATGCAGGGTACCAATCCTTTCCCTTGCTGGGAATGCTCCTGAGAGGGTGGATGCAGGTGCCCTTACCCTTGAAGATGGATGCATGGTGCCAATCCTGCTGAGATGGTTGCCCTTGCTACAGAGAGAGAGATGCAGGTGCCAATCCTTACCCACTTGCTGAGAGATGCAGGGTGCCAATCCTGCCCTTGCTGAGAGATGGATGCAGGGTGCCAATCCTTTTCCCTTGCTGGGAGAGATGGATGCATGGATGCAGGGTACCAATCCTTTCTAGAATGCTGAGAGATGGATGCATGCAGGGTTCCCTTGCTGGGAATGCTGAGAGATGGATGCAGGGTACCAATCCTTTCCCTTGCTGGGAATGCTGAGAGATGGATGCAGGGTACCAAACCTTTCCCTTGCTGGGAATGCTGAGAGATGGATGCAGGGTACCAATCCTTTCCCTTGCTGGGAATGCTGAGAGATGGATGCAGGGTACCAATCCTTTCCCTTGCTGGGAATGCTGAGAGATGGATGCAGGGTACCAATCCTTTCCCTTGCTGAGAGATGGATGCAGGGTGCCAGAGATGGATGCCAACTTTCCTTGCTGAGAGATGGATGCAGGGTGCCAATCCTTGCCCTTGCTGAGAGATGGATGCAGGGTGCCAATCCTTGCCCTTGCTGAGAGATGGATGCAGGGTGCCAATCCTTGCCCTTGCTGAGAGATGGATGCAGGGTGCCAATCCTTGCCCTGCTGCTGAGCTGAGAGATGGATGCAGGGTGCCAATCCTTGCCCTGCTGAGAGATGGATGCAGGGTGCCAATCCTTGCCCTTGCTGAGAGATGGATGCAGGGTGCCAATCCTTGCCCTTGCTGAGAGATGGATGCAGGGTGCCAATCCTTGCCCTTGCTGAGATGGATGCAGGGTGCCAATCCTTGCCCTTGCTGGGAGATGGATGCAGGGTGCCAATCCTTGCCCTTGCTGGGAGATGGATGCAGGGTGCCAATCCTTGCCCTTGCTGGGAGATGGATGCAGGGTGCCAATCCTTGCCCTTGCTGAGAGATGGATGCAGGGTGCCAATCCTTGCCCTTGCTGAGAGATGGATGCAGGGTGCCAATCCTTGCCCTTGCTGAGAGATGGATGCAGGGTGCCAATCCTTGCCCTTGCTGAGAGATGGATGCAGGGTGCCAATCCTTGCCCTTGCTGAGAGATGGATGCAGGGTGCCAATCCTTGCCCTTGCTGGGAATGCTGAGAGATGGATGCAGGGTACCAATCCTTGCCCTTGCTGGGAAATGGATGCAGGGTACCAATCCTTGCCCTTGCTGGGAAATGGATGCAGGGTACCAATCCTTGCCCTTGCTGGGAAATGGATGCAGGGTACCAATCCTTGCCCTTGCTGGGAATGCTGATATATATAATTTTTTTTTTTTTTTTTTCTGTAAAAGAGAATGGTTGATTGTGTAATAGAAATTGAATTTGGATTTTTTTTAAATGGTATTTTTATGCAATGTCTGCATTTAATCGCATATTGATGGTGGCTATTAGTCTTTTTTCTGTGCCTTCCTGGTCACCGGCTGAGGTTTGATGTCTAGATGTGTTCTGATTGGATGGAAACATCGAGCAGCCAACCAATCAAGATGCAACTTTCAAATCAAGTGTTTTCCTGGTGTCTCCGTTGAAGTGCAGGGTTTTTAATAGCCGCAAGTCTACTGTATTTGAGAATTTATTTCAGGCGACCCCAATAGATCTTTTATGAAATTGTACACAATATGAGTGTGAAACTTGTCGGAAGTCATTTTTAAACTCTCTGTGTATAATAGTTGCAATAGACCTATAGCTAGGAATACTCCCGTTTTGATTGGATGAAAACAGCGGACAGCCGATCAAAATGCAGAAACTGTTACAATCCTGGTTTGCGTCCTCAAATCCCTTCAATGGAAATAACAAAGCAATGGCTGCCCCCATCTCTTTACCTGTAACTGCTGCCCGGGTGGAGGGAGCTCTGAAGGAATACCTAGTGTGACATTTTATTTGCTTAACTCACAGGTTCATAGGTCAGATAAATAGCACACAGTACTTTGTCCTATCCTACACGCTGGCGTGTGCGTAACACTCCATGGACTGTCTAAACATGTTTGATAATAAAGCTTTGCTAGTTCTGAATGGTAATGATGTTTGGGTGGTGTTTCTCCTGTAAAACATGATGTCTAATTATTTGTTGGCAGGTGTGAGTCACTGTGTAAATCCACGTTCACTGAGCAGAGTAAAGTTTGTGGTTCCTTTCACTGTCTGATTTTGCACGTTCTGTGTCTGGTGATTGTACATATAGTTTTGCTCAGTGGATTTAAAACTGGTAATTCTACATGCAGCTCTCTGTTTCCAGTCAGATGGGTTTATTCACTAAAAGGATATATGTGAAGAATATTAGTTTATGTAACATTATATAAGGGATCTGGATGGAGTAGGAGTCTGTTGTACAGGTCATGTATACAGGATTATATAGTTTACACAGGTCATGCCACATTATATTAAGCGTTTTCTGTTCCCAAGCATGTTTTATAATGGTCTTTATCTTTTTTCATTATTCTAGGTGTGCTTTGATTGTGGTGCAAAGAATCCCAGCTGGGCGAGTATCACATATGGCGTCTTCTTGTGCATTGATTGCTCAGGGACACATCGATCTCTTGGGGTTCACTTAAGCTTTATTAGGTAGGTTTGGCGTTGGTAGGTTTACTGCATCATGATTAAAAAGATCACCATACCCTTATACCTGCTATTAAAACACACTATGTGCGTGGAGACACAGGGGACCTCCTTACACCATAACCTTATAGCTGCAGTTATAATACACTGTGTGCAGGGAGACAGGGGACCTCCTTACACCAAATCTTTATAGCTGCAATTATAATACACTGTGTGCGGGGAGACACGGGACCTCCTTACACCATAACCTTATTGCTGCAGATATAATACACTGGATGCGGGGAGACAGGAGACCTTGCACCATAACCTTAAAGCTGCAGTTATAATATACTGTGTGTGGAGAGACAAGGGACCTCCTTATACAATAACCTTATAGCTGCAGTTATAAATACACTGTGTGCAGGGAAACAGGGGACCTCCTTACACCATAACCTTATAGCTGCAGTTATAATACACTGTGTGCAGGGGGACAAAGGTTTTGAAATGCGGACGTGTGAAAATTATACATCTCTAAAGGCAGATTCGCTGCTGATGAAAAGAAAGGGGGAGCATGTTCTGTGAAGGATATTTTAAGGGTCACTCTAGTGTCCAAATTTTTTTTTTTTTTTTATAAAAAACACTGTTTAGTAGATATGCCATCAGTGAGAACATCCATATATGCAATCAAATTTGTTTTGTAAATGAAGAGGACACATTCTTCACATAGGAAACATTTCAGCAAGCTAAAGTGGTTTAGGTGTTTGGAATGTTCCTTAAACTTTAGACCCCTAGTTTGTTTAGTTCATTGAGCTGCATTGGGAAGTCTGTGATTGGACAGTGGGGTGGGGGGAGGTTAGAAATAGGTTTGCAAAGGCTGCAGCAAAGAGATCTGCAGCTTTTGTAAGCTGATTTTAGATATACACCCAATGAGGAAAAATGCATAATTAAATGCTGGCATGTTTTTCATTGGGGTATATTTTATATTCTGTGTAGATGTAAATGGCCAATAGTTTGTGAGCATTTGTTTCGAAGTAACAATCTTTTACATTCTATGTAATGACAGAGGTTATATGGCAGGCAACTTTCACCTTCTGGATAAACAAGTCTCGTCACTCTGTGTTCTGATTTCACCTTCTGGATAAACCAGTGTTTCATGGCTTTCAGGGTTATTTACCAATGTGAGAATTCATAGTGAATATTTCAAATTATGGGTCACAGTAGCCGAACTGATGGCATAGTTCACTTGTTTTTATTTTTTTATTAAATTAGTGTTGAACTTTCACTTTTAATAAATGATGGTTTCCTCACAATGTGTTCGAATTTCAGATAAATAATATAAAATTAAGATTACATGTTTCTCTTCTATGGAATTTCCCAATATGTTAAAAGTAAATGTTTGTAATTGTGCAGATGTTTCTTGTCTGGTTAAGCAGATTGTGGAATCCAGTAAAATGTTCTTTATAAAATGCGAAGTCGATCTCTTTGTAGATGCCATTTCCACTTGAACTAAAATGTTCTATTTTCTGTTTAGATCGACAGAGCTGGATTCCAACTGGTCGTGGTTTCAGCTCCGGTGTATGCAAGTAGGAGGAAACACAAACGCAGTGAGTATTTTCTGCATGTGTTAAACTTGCTACTGCCGGGTGGCTAATTTGTCATATTTACTATTATTCTGCCTTCTGTTAGCTATGTATGAAAACCATGCATTAGCATGTGTACTTAAAAGATGGTCACATCTTTAATTCAAATCGGTGGATCATTAAAATAATGCAGTCTATAATGGAACGTCTCTAAACCCACTGTGCATATAGTTCCACATATAGGAAAATGATTGTATGTTTTAAGTGTCAAGAGGGGAATCGGCCATAGCTCACACAAGGCTAAAACAATAGTCTTCTCATAGGGAAAGTAAATCTCTTTAAGGGACGACCTATGCACCAAAGCCAACACATCTTACTATAGTGGTTTTGGTGCAGCATGCTAAATGTACACATTAGATTTGTTGTTGGTTAGACTGCCTCTAGTGGCCGTCATTAAAAGCTGTTCCTCATGAAGACTTTTTGTGTAATTAAAAGCTTGGCTAGTGACACAGGGCTTCAGCTTTGAAATCATTGCTTCTCGAATAGAAACATCTGTTTGGCTAAGCCTGCCTGGTCCCCATGCTTTTCTTTTCTTTTCTTTTTTATGCCTTTTTTTTTAATATAATTTTTTATTTTTATTGTGCTTATGAATGACTACAGGTATGCTCACAATGTCACAACAACATTAGTAAGCTATCTTAGTGTGATACACAGAAAAACATTGGTATGACACTTGCAGAAACAGCACATTTTTAGGCAATATAAAAAAAGCAAGATTCAAGCTATGCAGTTATGTCTAAGATGGTGAATATTCATATGATTTATATGACCGAAGAGCAAATATATCCATGGGTATTACGTGGTATAGTGTTGCCGTGCCTAACAAAAAACTGGCTGGTTTATAGGTCTAACTGATAGAGGTAAGACCTAGTCAGAATATTCACATAACTAAACTTGTTAGACGGGAAAAGAAGAGTAAATCGATAAAATGTGATATAGTATGCAGATCATTTGGGTTAACTGCACCCGTTATTATATATCATGTTGAACCAATACCTCTATTCGTTTAGCTTTGCTCTAGGCTTGAGAAGCCTGGCCCACATCAGATTCGAGTTTTTCTGTAAGGAGTTAGGGTGGGTGCTTAGGTAACCAGTCACGTATCTACTCAAATAAGGGTATTAACCCTAGCGAAAGCACAGCGTTATAGCTTTCCACTGGTGTCTGAGTTACTATACTACTGCATTAAGTATGAATACATATTGGCACGTATGCTAGGGACACATTGAGTATATTCATCAAGGCTATATCTTATTGCGTTATTAGTAATTGATACCACTGGGTTTGAGAGTGTTCAGGTAATGAACCGGTAACCTAGGTTGTCGGGTAGAAGGAGCCGAATCGTGATCTCATTGAGTTCAGCCTATGTCCTTCATACAGTGGACAGCGTCTTGGCAAGCGATGCCCCTCAGTTTCCCAGCCAAGATACAGTCCCAGTAACTGGTTCCCCTGTTGCGTTGCTAGTTGAGCTTGGTGCCCATTGCCGGGCTGCTCACTCCCACGTTAGCGAGATTCCCCAGCTCGATAGAGGCGGTGAGTGTGGGGGACTCCTTTGAGGACCCGCGGCCCGGTGAGGGAGCGGTTCAGGGCGTTGTGCCAGCTGGGTCTGTGGTGTAGTCGATGTGCCTGCCTCCGGTTCCCCACTTTCAGCATTGCGGCAGGGGCGTGCTCGATGGCTCTCTACCGTGCGTCGGTTCGGGCTGGGACGAAGCCGCCATGGGAACACTTAGTCGTCGATGCTGTTCTCGGATTGGCATGGTAGTGGTGCCTGAGCGATGGGCTATACGGGCCCAGAAATCCTGGCAGACCCTGTTGAATCTCATCTCAAAGTCTTGTACCTGGTCTCTGGGTTAGCTGTGCTTAACAAAAATGGCGGGCTGGTGGCCATCTTTGAGTCGCCATGTGGCTCCATGAGCGGTAAAGTCCGGGGGCCACTGGAGCTTCGATAGTGATCCCAGTGGGGACCGAGATATCCTCCACCGCTCAGGGTGGGGTGGGTGTCAGGGCCGAAAGAGGTCTATTCAGGATGTTCGGCACTCGGCTGGAGATCTGCTGCCTCTCCTAGGTAGGAGGCCTGCTATCCCGGTAGGTCACTCAGCAAGACTGCAGATCATGCTTGCACAAATGGAGTTTTGGGATACTCAATGTCTCCTCTTTGTTAGTTGCGGTCTGTGCTCGGTGTAAAGTTATTTACGATTTTTCCTTTGTTGATTTTGCTTGGCAAAGCTTATTCTTGCAGGAGCTCCAAGCAAACACGTCTGGCCTGCTTGAGTCAGTCTCCCCCCATGCTTTTCTTATAGTAGGAGCACTAACATTAAAAATATATTTATCAGCATTTTTTAACATTAGTGCTAAATTTTGGAATAGGTAATCGTGCAATTCTAGTTCTGGCAGGACTTCTCTCGATTCTGTTATATTTTGCGTGCTGCATGTCCGGTTTTCAATCTGTCGCTGGAGTTTACTTGATTTACACGTTTTAACCTTGTGAGTAGAAGTTTGTATTTTGTTTGGCTTGCACAACAGGAAAAGCAACAAAAAAAGTCGGCCTACGGTTTAGTAGGAGGAAATAAACACCTCAAAGCATAGGAGTTCAAAAAAAATAAAAAAATTCCCACTAAAAAAAATAAAGATTGCGTATCCAGATAATGTAAATAAGTGGTAAACTGACAGTTATCCTTTTTGATATAATATTTGTTTCCTGAGTTATTCCACAGCACCACTGAAAAATGCACGTGTGTGTGTGTGTGTGTGTGTGTATATGTATATGTGTGTGTGTGTGTGTGTGTATGTATATATATATATATATATATATATATATATATAAAATTTTACTATGAATAAATAGCATGATGTCTGAATTTTTCAACAGACTATCTTCTTTCGCCAACATGGATGCTCAACAAACGACGCCAATGCAAAGTACAACAGCAGAGCATCCCAGCTTTATCGGGAGAAAATAAAGTCCCTTGCAACACAAGCAACCAGAAAGCATGGCACAGAGGTATGTATGTATATTTCTAAATTTATGTATAAATTAAATATAAAAAAGGTAAACTATGCTCTCATAGGCTGACAATATGTCTCCAACAAAAATCACATTTGTTCTTTTACACCTATACATTTACGCAACTTGTCACTGAACATCATACACACACACACACACACACACACACACACACACAAGTGTATGTATATGTATGTGTGTGTGTGTGTATGATGATCAGTGACAAGTTGCGTAAATGTATAGGTGTAAAAGAACAAATGTGATTTTTGTTGGAGACATATTGTCAGCCTATGAGAAGATAGTTTACCTTTTTATATTTATTTTAATTAGAACTATATAACCATTAACAAGCAACTGGAAAATAATGGATTTCTTTTATGGACTGCACAAAAGTGTTAACAGCTTCATATCCACTATATGGCAATAATATTGGGCCTCTAGCAGTGACAGATCTAATCTGCTCTGAGAACACATTATAAAATATGATTTCCAGTAATATTATTTGGGAATGAATTATGGAGTGTGCAATAACACATCAGAGAGATATAAACTTTGCGTATTCACTGTACAGTTGGCAATCTTAAAATGAGACCTCCTGGTTCCGTCAGAGAGGATATACCAAGCAGACAGACTAACCTGACTATCAGCATGTCTTTCATTAATATGAATATATATTTATAATGCTTTTTATGATTGTAAATTCAAGCAATAATTTTTTTTCATTCCATTAATCCATTCACAATATCACTCTCTCCTAGAGGTTTCCGAAACATTGTTTTGGATAAATATTGTAGCTGATGCTTGGATTTGCAGTTTTCAAATTTGTCAATGCAATGTATCTGCAGATATAAGATGTTATAAAATAAACTCAGAGTTTGGTGAAATGCCTCAATCCCATTCTTATTTCTGCAAATCTATGTGTATAGAATCGGCACTTTTACACCTGTGCTAAGTTTCAGCCAATGGTTTTTAGGGCAATAGATTTGGGATGTTGGCGTATATTGCTTGAGGTTTATGGTTCCCTCAGTGGGTGAGAGAGCCTATAATGTTTGGGAATATTTGAATGAAATTCTTTTGTCTGTGGATAAAAAAAACAAATGCTAAATATAACCTTAAATATAAAGCAGAAAAAGAAATGACATAATCAGTATCATAATCCTCGTAGAGCGTATGCGTGTGTACGTATATTAAAAACAAATTCTAATAAATATATATATTGTGCGTACGTACTAGAAATGTTCTTGTGAGAATGGGAATCTAGACTGCAGAATAAATGAAATGGCTGCAGTTGTGGTCAGTTGAGGGGGTTATTTTAATTAAACTGCGCAATCATTTGTGAATTTGCACCAAAATAAGCATCATAGCAAATAATGTTAGTCGTGGACCATTACAAAGAGTAACGAGAGAACCCTGTAGATGTTGTTGTATTATACATAGCTGTGCAAGCATGGTAAGTTAGTTTATACACAGAAACATTTTCATATTTCAGCATAAACAATCTGAACAAAGTGTGAGGGGTAAATATATAATAAAACCAAGATTATATGGGTGATTGTGTGAACTGATAAAGACAAGTGTTGGGGGTCATCACTGTTACTGTAAAGGATGATTTATTAAATAAAAAAAATACTGTGTACGTTTACTTTTTAGTTATCCTTGAAAATTAGAATGTACGCAAAATAGCTGTTTTGTTTATTCTAATGTCGTTGCTGATTTTAAAAATAAATAAAAACACAACTAGTGATGAGGTTGAAATGAAGGCAGGTTCTCTGTGACACTATAGTGAAGTAGTGATCGAACACTTCCAACTACGCCTTCACTGTATGCATAGATCAGATGAGTAACTATGCTTTGTGTCTCTACAGCTGTGGATCGACGGGTGTGCGGTCCCACCCCATTCACCCCAGGCTAAAGAAGAGGACTTCTTTGCACATGTAGAGGTACGGCAAAATAATTAACATTCTGTCTCAGAGGTCGCAGATTCTCCTGACGCGCAATTAGTGTTTTCTATATTTCAAATTTTTTTTTTTTTTTTTTTTACAGTCTGCATACCCTGCTCTACATCAGGTTTTATATGGGGTTTAAACAGAACAAGTGCAGTACAATTTACCTAGCGTGTCTTATTGCACACGGAAAGCTTTGTATTATCCTATTCTATCACTGCTGTAGTTAGGGCAGTATTTGTGCACTTGGGTGGGTCACTGCGTACAGCGGGGTAATTCAGGAAGAATGTCCTACCTGGTGCAACATGACCTAGTACTGGCTTAGTTCTGTCCTTTTCTGAAATTACAAGAAAATGGTATTTCTGTATAAAGAGCAGTTTAGGTGAAAGTTGTAAATATGAAGAAATAAATGGGAAAAAATATTTGCTGATCGGTCTGTTGCATTTTGTGACGTACAGGTAAATAACAGATTTTAATGATTTTTGTCGTGTAGCATGTTAAAACACTCTCGAAACAAAATAAATCTGTATTCATGTATATCGATTATGGCAACTGATAAACTGTGTGCGGTAGAGACTAAACCGAATATATGCAGAACATTTAAACAATACACTTGCCAGTATTTTGTCGATTTGTCAACTTGCGCTGTGACTTTAATAAATACTATACGGTCCTGACTGCATATTATAAAAGGCTGAATACCGTGTTAAATGAATGTAATTTTAGAATAAGTGTGACAAGTATACTAATTTCCCATATATTCTTTTAATCATTTGAGGTCTTGTAATAAACGTTTGTTGAAAGCTCTCCTTTCTCCGAGCAGGTTAGTAATACAGAATGGTCTACACCACAAACACCGGCGATCTCTCTATTAGAGAACCCTCCAGAAAGTGTCTCTGAGACCACTCAAGGTAAAACATTTCTTCAGCTACTGCCAATTTATACCCCTTATGACAAATCCTTAAACAGGGACAGAAATATCACCTTCCAAACCTTTACTTTGTGTGTAAAATTCCTCTTCATTCTAAATGGGTTGAATCTTAGCGTTTCTCTACCTGGATAAAATGTAAATGCACATCCCTGTGTGATGAACAATGCAGACTGCATATAACATAAAGTTAAATAATCAGAACAGCCCAGGAGAGTGATGGAAAACTAAAAATAATTATCTGGGTATCTGCACCAACCCCTCCCACCGCCACGCCCAAAATCAATAATGACTTGCATGATAAACTTGAAGGTTTTGAGGGCAATGCAGATTATACTGGTTGCTCCCCATAATTAACTCTACAGGAATAGCTCCTACAGAATGTTTTCACATAGCTGCAGGGTTCAGTATTCAGTCTATAGAGAGCTGCAGGGTTCAGTGTTCAGTCTATGGAGAGCTGCAGGGCTCAGCTTTCAGTCTATGGAGAGCTGCGGGGTTCAGGGTTCAGTCTGTGGAGAGCTGCGGGGTTCAGGGTTCAGTCTGTGGAGAGCTGCAGGGTTCAGTCTGTGGAGAGCTGCAGGGTTCAGGGTTCAGTCTGTGGAGAGCTGCAGGGTTCAGGGTTCAGTCTGTGGAGAGCTGCGGGGTTCAGGGTTCAGTCTGTGGAGAGCTGCAGGGTTCAGTCTGTGGAGAGCTGCAGGGTTCAGTCTGTGGAGAGCTGCAGGGTTCAGTCTGTGGAGAGCTGCGGGGTTCAGGGTCAGTCTGTGGAGAGCTGCAGGGTTCAGTCTGTGGAGAGCTGCAGGGTTCAGTCACAACAGTACATTGTCTATTCTTCTGTTTAAAATGGTTTTCGTATTTTAATTTTTTAGGTGAACCAGAGCTTGGTCCGAGTGTGGATCTTCTCAGCATGTCCCCAAAAGCCTCACTAGGTAATATAAAGATTTACTTTTTGATGTTTAAAAAAAAAAAAAAGCAGAGTAAAATATTTTTGCAAATCACTTAAAACCCCTTTCTGCAGCAACCCGCTGGTTCGTCAATCTGTACAATTTGAGAGAGCCTTTTATTCCTATGTAATTTCATTTTTTTGTTCATCCCACGCTAGTTGGTGTGGAATGCTTCGGCCATTGAAACTTATTCACAAAATTTTAAAGAACTTGCCATTTAAAAAAAATTTGATCTAACATTTATTATTGGCATTCATAAAGTGCCGAGATACTTCGCAGTGCAATATAAACAGACCAATACAAACATAAGAGGACCCTGTCTGTAAGCAGAAATGTAGCTGTTAAAGTACTGTTTATAACGTGCCCTAGTTAGGTAGCCCATGAGCTTACAATCTAAATTAAAATGAGGTAGAGACAAGGTAGCAGGAGGAATCTGATGGTGATTGCCAGAGTGAATTAAAGAATATTTGCAGCCACTGGTAAGTTGTTAAATGAGATGAGCAGGTAGGTGATCTTGAGCAGCAGCTGGAGACCTATAAAATAAGAAGGAAACTGTGTCCGTAGTGCTGGATGATAATGGAGTTGATGTTTTTCTCTGTTGTATTCTGTTCTCCACAATTCCTAGTTTAGTGAATAATATCTATAATATACGTGTCTGAGAAGGGATCCCGTATAGCTTGACATTAAGTACTGTTCAGGAACATGGCACAATGTATCCCAGGTTTGTTACTAGTATCTGCGCTAAGGTCCACGACCAGATCCACAATGCATAGAATGGGTTCTCTTGTATTGAAGGTAAACCTTGTTTCCCTGCAGATAGACCCAGACAGGGTGGTCCCTATTCCTAGAAGATTTTCATTCAGAATGTCTGTAGCTCGCGTTGTTCCTTGGTATTGTGATAAAGTTCTAATATTCCATATTCAGAGATGTTTGTTCTTTTTCATATTTCAGCCGATGCAGGAAGCGCACCTTGCAAAGGTGAAAATTACCGATACTTGCCTGCAAATTGCTTTAATCTTTTCCTTCTTACAGCCTCCCAGCGCCTTGATCGATGCCTGCTGTGTGATGCAGACAGCTGAGTCTCTGTGCTCTCTTTACTGCGCCCGCTCTGTGTGCAGACTGGTGACTGTGATTGTTACTATAGAGTGAAATAGGGGTTTGGGAAACTCACACAGTGATGCTGAAATTACCTCAATTTATATACAGTACAAAAAAACATACGGTTTCAGATCTTTGCAAGATATTTAAAGGAACCCATCAAGCACCATAACTGCTACAGTGCTCATTGGTAGCTATAGTGCTCTAGCACCCCCCCTTTGTAAGTAGTCAGTTTGTTAGTCTGCCTGCGCAGCTCCCCACCTCCACTTCAGTCCTCAAAGAAGCAATGATTCTTATTTAGAAGATTCCTTTCGCTCTCCTGTGCCAAGTCCCCCAGCACACAGCTGACAGCATCACGTGATCTAATCATTGCACTCTGTGCTTAGCCCAGGCAGCTTCTGGCTCTCTAAAGGCTGTAGTGGAGTCGGGCAACGACTCCCAGCAGACACCAGGTAAGAAGTCTAACCATTCTAAAATGTTTCGACTACTCGCATTGTGGGGTGCCTGGGTAGTCCTGACACCATAACCACCGCAGGGTCCAGTCATGGTGCTCAGAGACTTCCTTTAGCATTATTCACTAAACTCCAAATTGTAGCATTTTAAAGTCTAAATGGCAAAACTGAGATGAAAGCCGGTAATCTGGCAATTTTTCCAAATCTTTGAAATACTTAGCTTTTTGGATTTTAATTTTCTACAGTTTGTACGTTGCTAAAGAATCCTGTGTGTGACCAACACCCCCCTATATTTTATTTTCTATCCCCCCTAATTTAGAGTAAATAATGTTTTTGGGGCGTGGTTGCTTCCAGTTCATGGCACAATGATCAGTTACTAGTCTGTGGAGCAGAGTGGCATATCTGTGTCTTGCTGTGTGGTACAGAGTGGTGGCACAGCGGTATGCCCCCGCTGGGTGCAGCAGAGTGGCGTCTCTATTGGCCTTCGCTCTGTGGCACAGAGTAACCGCTCAATGATCGGTGCCTGCTTTTTGCACTCAATATATTTCTTATGTTCTGTTCCTCACTTTTCCGCAGCATGAAAATTTTCATTTAAATTAAGATGCTGTATGTTTGCTGTCCCCACTCCCCACCACATCAGACTCCATCCTCACATTATGTTCATAAAAATCCAAAATTCAGAGATTTACTTTTAATATTGTGTAACATAGGTCACGTGCTACTTTGTAACATTGGGATATCCATAGTCCTCTATTGTCTGTAAGGGTCCATGCCCCCTCTAAGCCTCTGATCCGAGCAGTAAGATAGACCGGCTGCTGACTGTAGACTAATCTGGGAACACAGCGGCTCACACTGGAGGGAGGACAATTAATCAAAACCCCCAATATATTCACGAACTGGATATGGACATTTCAACTCTTCAAAGTAGCATATATAAATATAGATATTTTTGAGATTTACATCAGGTTTATTTCATTATCCATGCCAGAAAAATAATTTGCTATTTATTTTTGAGAAAAACCGTTTGCTTTTTCCTTTTACACCTGAGCTGTCATTAAAAATGGAGGGTTGGTATATTAAATCCTTCACAATCTTGTCACACATTTAAATATATTTTTGTGAATTGCCGAAATACCTGTGACTTGCATAGATGCCTAATTCTGCCTGTAGCCCCTCATTACGCATGGTCCTTGTCTCCGTGAGGTTCTAGACCCCAAATCTTTTAAGTATATGGATGTCCTTTTTGGTGAGTGTGACAATTGATTCTTGGCTCCCAGTAAAGGTTATTGTAGATTTGTGTTGGATTTGTCAAAAGAAGTGGTTGTGAGATTGGTTTAAAACATACAGTTAATGTCTGCTGTTCAGTGCCTTGGCTTGAATAATAATAGAACCAAAATGGTTGCTTTTACCGTGAATTCTACATCAATGTCAAGTCTCTGTCATTGATGCATATGGATCTTGATGCTAGACGTTACCCCACGTGTGTTTACTCTGAATAACCTGTGTTTATTCATTACAGAAACTGGATCCATTATTAAAAAGAAACCCACCTCGACAAGGAAAGGGGTAAGTACTTTATTTTATTTTTTCTTTCAAAATATTTTTATTCAAGATGGGATTATAGACCAAAAAGTATCAAGATGAATACAGTGGTAGAGTTTATATACAATGTATAGAGCAAGGCCACATAGTAACACCTGTTGTTTTACTTTCTAATTGTCCTCATTTGAAGTGGTGATGGTGCCTGGAGTCTGCGCATTGCTTCATGATGGCGTGCAGCACATACAGAGTTTAACCCCTTCGCTGCTGGAGGTGTAACTCCATTGCTGGCAGAATCATTGGGGTTCCATTAGCCTGCCCAAAACAAGATATTCTGAGCAAAATTATGGTTTGGCCAGCCAATAGAGGTACGCCCTCTGTGTGGCCTCCTCCCCCTACATCTCTCACCCTCAAACTTTTTGAGGGGGAAAGGGGTACCCATGCTTTCTTAAAACACTTTTAACCCCTTAAGGACCAAACTTCTGGAATAAAAGGGACTCATGACATGTCACACATGTCATGTGTCCTTAAGGGGTTAAAGGGAGGATGTGCCCCAAAACCAAATGTTAAAGGGACACTAGTCACCCAGACCACTTATATTAATGTAGTGCTCTGGGCGCAGTTGTCCTATCCTTTTTCTTTTTTTACTATGCAATGTTTTACTTTGTTTAAACCTTTTTTAAAATTTTTATAGCAAGAGGAGAATGGGGGAGGGCTATATAGATCTAGGAACAGGGACACTATAGTGTTACCTATACAAACCTGTAATGCTATAGTGTCCTTTAAATAAGTTGCAAAACTCCAATGATGCTCTGCCAGTTTTAGGCTGCTGCTGGACACCCAGGCTGAGCGATATATACATCTATCTCTTTAACCCACCGTTTGGGGGATTTTGTTTTATTTTTTTTGTTTATTTTACTTCAGCTTGGAGGCAAAAAAACTGGCCTCGGCGCTCAGAAAGTGAGCAGCAAAAGCTTCAATGAGATTGAGAAACACGCCCAGGCTGCAGAAAAACTGAAGGAAAAAGATGTGGCCGTCTCCACTCCAAAGCCAGAAGAAGATATGTAAGTTTACCACAATAATTTTCTCCCTGCTAAAACGTAAATTGTTATAGAAGATCATGTTCCATTCTATTTTCCTAATACCACAACTGTGAATTTATAATGGCCATATAGTCTCCTTCTAAGACGGCATATCGCTAATAAAATAAACGCAGTCTAAGTACCAATGTGAGCACTCCCCCTGCGTAAGCTGAATTGACCTGAATTAAGGGACTACTGGGCAAGGTTTTTTGAGAGTAATCAACATTTAGTGCTGCTTGTGTTAACCAGGAATCGGTTTTAATTCTGTATAAATGTTACATTCTGCGAGTTGCAGTAGGAGGTGTCTGCAATATCTGTAGGCAACCAAATCTTAAGATTTACAAAGTTTGATAACACATTTGCGTCCGCAAACTGTAACTGAAAAATAAAACCTATTCTCCCAGATATTTAACTCCCTCATATTCATGGTTTTAGGGTCGGTTCTTTACGTCTGGCGTACAAAGAACTGGAAATCCAGAAACACAAAGACGACGAGAAACTCAAAAATATGCCTGCCAAGAAAAAGGCTGATGCAGAGCGGCTTGGCATGGGGTTTGGCAATCGAAGGTACTGTAAGCTCCTATTCTGTTCACATTAATGAATTTTAAATGTCTGTATATGCATTGTACAGTGCTGTGTAATATGTTGGCACTGCAATTATTGATCCTGCCACTGGAGGGTGCTCGAGCACACTCAGTGCGTGAAAACCTACAAATGGACACATGGCTTTACATCAACTGTCAGTAGTTTATTTTGTACTGAAAATACCCAACACTTCAATTTACTTTTGCAACTCCCACTCCCCATTTCAAATACCTATTTGCTGAGAGTGATGTGTGTACACATCCATATAGTAAATATATTTAAATTAGAAATGCTAAAATGCAACAAGAGACCCTTTATTTCAACCAAAAATAACCACAACCCGGATAGTCAATCACTGCCGCAAACCACAGGAGAAAATGTTTAAATCGAATTATTCAGATTTAACTTTACTGTCACTGTGCCATGTACATACAAGGCAATGAAACAGTTTGTCCATGAACTGCAGCAGCAATTTATAAAAAAAACGATTTAAAAAATGTGCATCCAATGTAAGCTCTTGCAATCCTTCATTAATCCCAATTTCCAGCCTAAAAATACATTGTTGTTGTACAGTAGGGCCGTCATCTAGAGATTGAACATTCCTATCCCATAAGACTTCTGTATCTGTGTTATAAGTGTGCCAACTTCCATACAGTTATTTCCTAGTGCAGACCAGGGTTCCACCATAGCTAATGTTTGCACCAATATAGACACTAAGCGTATCCCACTCTCGACCTTCATATACAGAGCTGCTAACGGCACGGTGAGACGGTGGAGAATTATGACGAAATGGGTCTTCCCACAATAGCCTCAGTTTTTCATTTATTTGAATCAGAAATGATTCTGAAAGATTAGAAAATTTTTCAAATTATTTGTCAACAGAAGTCACTGTTAAACTCTACTAGAATTTTTGTAAATAAATCTTCAGAAACGTTCTTATAACCAATTCTGATCATATTAAAGTTTTATTAAATTGAGGTCAGTGTCGGCATCAGTATGTTTATTTGGCCAGTTTTTAATTCTAGGTTTGTGTTTTGGTTTTCTGGCATATTTACAACCCTCCTTCTCTTCCCCCAATGATGAAATGGAGGGCCATTAAAGACAAGTATTTATTCCTAAGAATTTATTTTTGCATTATTTTTTTTTTAAACTAATTTTTTGTTTTTTTCTTTCACAGTGGGATATCACATTCTGTACTTTCTGAGATGAAAACAATTGAACAAGAAGCTCCGAAAAATGCAAAACCTAAGAAACCATATCCAGAAGAAGAACCTGATGATTTCTTTTTCAAGTCCTCCCGCTCACGGTAAGAAAATAACATCAGCCTTTTAAATCAACCCAGCAGTCAGTTTATTGGACGTACAACAGTAATGATCAACGTTTTCCCTACCATGATAATGTGAATTTAAACCTGACTGACTGGAATGCCATAGTGCAGCGTAAAAACCAGTGTGGGATGTGCAGGCAGTAAAAGCTTGGTTACCGGTAACAATGAATGAATCCTGGCAGATATCTATAGATCCAACGCCTGACAAACACACAGCATGGATCTGAATGTCAGTGAAAGCTTCATGGCACATCCACGGTTAAAATATAGTGGGGTTCTGTTGGGTCGCTACAACTTCTACAGGCTCCTGGCCTCTCTTCGCAAGTCGCCTCCCTCAAGAACAGATTACTTGGGATGTGGGTAATAGCGAACTATTTGCGCACACACAAGGGTCTCCAACTACCTTTCAAGGTTTTCCACAGAATGTATTTTATTCCAGGGTTTTAGATCTAGCCGTTACACCCTGGCGGTCTCCATTGCCTATAGTCACATGTTTTGCAGTTCTGTTGTGTTTTATTTTTTTACTTTTTTTTTTTTTTTTACTGTTTATTTGGAATAAATTTTTTAGTATTTTCAGGTCAGAAATTTCCCCAATCTGAGCCCTCTCTAGTCGTGGGTATTTTATCGAGCCACCCCCACAGTACCCAGGGGTTACTGTGCCTATATTCTACCTGGCCCCAATGGCATGTAACCACCTGACCCACCACCTGCTAAAGGCAGTGCATTTTACATACGTTTTATTAAGTGTTCTTGCATAGCAAGACCACTTAATGTTATCTCACATATATATTATTTTTATTCTTATTATAGCCAAATTTACCACCCTAACTCCTCCCACAGTTTTTACACTACATAGACAGTAATATACCAAAACGTGCGGATTGTTCCCGATTGGATTGCTATTACTTTGTGGAACGTTTCGCCGAATGGTTCACGGAATATCGTCGTTCTTGTGGCTAAATTTGTCCCATAGGAATGAATGGCAAAGCTAGAGTGGGAGCTGGCAAAAGCTGAAAAATCAGGACATGATTTCTAAACTGCCACCACTCCCTTATTTTCAGGCCCACCTACACAAATCTATATCAAAACGTTCAGCTATCCCTGCTGCCACTAAACATGTCAACGGCTAAGCCATAGTCCTGACAGTTTTCACAATATAATCATTTGTTTGCAACTAACGCCGTCCATTGACATTCATTGAAACTTCACTCTACAAAGCTCAAATTTGAAGTGCAATTTCTAAACTGCGACTGTGCCATCATTTTTAATACTTCAGAGACATACTATGCATCAAAATGTAGGTCTGGGGGGGGCGGAGCCAAGCGTCCGTACTGAATGGCAGCAACTCTCATGTGCTCCCGTGGCTGAGGATACTACCCGTTACCACCCACAGCCCCACGGAACCCTACCCGCCGACAACACCTACCCTTCACACCCCAGGGAGGTGAGCCGGACACAGATGCCCTTTCTGTTCCCGCAAACGGGCAGAAAAACCCGGCAGAGATCGGGGGCCTATCAAGAATACCGCACAGCAAGGCCTGCACCAGACCTACTGGCACTGACGGCTGCCTTATCCAGCCCGCTGCTGACCCCTCACCGGGAATCAAGCAACATGGGCCGAAGGACACAGAAACCCCTACAGGGAGCTAACAGGGACTCCCTAGATATCAGCGCCCAACGGCCTCCAAAATGGCGAACCCACCTGATGGTGTCAGCAACCTGGAAGACCCAGAGGAGCGGTCCGAAGAGATGACAGAACCCCAACAGCCACACTACCCCACACTAGAGAGGAGGGAAAACCTAAACCCAGCCACTAAGCAAGATATTGCAGACTTGCTCCAAGAAATGCGGCAGATGCACACTGCAGATATGGACCTGATCAAAACAGAGGTACAAGCGGTGACCGCACGCACACAGGCCTCAGAGGAAGATATACAAGATCTCCGGAAAGAGGTACAAAGCCTAAAAGAAATGGTCCAACACCTACAAACCTCCCAAACTACCATAACCACCAGAGTAGATCAGGCAGAAGACCGCCACAGGCGCGCCAATATCAAAATCAGGGGGATCCCTGACTCAGTCGACGCGACTGAACTGGCCCACTACCTTAGGCGCCTCTTCAGCACGCTCTTACCACCCGCTCAGGCAAAAAAGGTAGCACTTGACGGATTCTTCCGAATCAAGAAACCCAGACAGGCCCCGCAAACGGCCTCCCAGGACGTCATCATCCGCTGTCAATCTCTGACCGATAAAGCCCGACTTATGGCTGCGGTAAGGGGGAAGACCCCGCTCCCCTTTGAGAACTCATACCTCTCATTCTACCAAGATCTCACGCGGAACACACTCCTATGGCGCCGGTCCCTAGGCCCAGTGACAAGGAGACTACAAGAAGCAGACATCGAATATAGATGGACACTACCAAGAGCCCTGATAGTAACCGAGGGGGGCACCACCCATAGACTCTCCTCACTTAACGAGGCGGACTCATTTTTGCAAGCCATTGGGCTACACACGAGACCCGCGAACGCGGAGAACCCTTCCACCCCACACACTTGGGATCCGGACAGAATAACGCCATTCACCCCCAGAAGACGGGAAGATAGAGGGGCACCAACTTGAGATGACCAGCTCTCACACAAGCATTCTGTTTTGTTCCACTATGTTTTACCCAAGTTTATAGTGAACCCCACACTAGTTCCCCCCAATGCTGCATCTACATGACGGATATCGGACCTTACCAGACCGAACTTTTTAGCAACCCTAACGGGCTCCTTAACACCTAATGCAGGCTCTATCACCTGCTGAGGCCGAGAGACAGACTCTCACAACCCATAGTACCCTCACCCTCCCTCCCCCCGTGTCCCCCTAGGTTAGGGGACGACATCCTACGACCACTAGCCACACACACCCATGTCACACTGAGTGTCTTCATTGGCACCCCTACACTCTGAGCGACAGCACACATACATGGCCCAACAATACAGTACCCAATATGACTCACCGACACTCACACCGCCTGAACCGAGAGGACGAACCTCACAACACGGGTCCAACCACAGACACCAGAGCACTCACAGACAGGGCAACCAGACACCAATACTGGCCTACCCACCTCCAGGTCGACCTCCCCAGGAGATTATACCATGGGACACAATCACTACCCTAAAACTAAACGCACACCATGCCTGGGAGACTGCCACAACAAACATGCAACAAACACAACGTACACACCCTGACACAGGAGCGCAGCTGGACCCCCAACACATGTTATACTCCTCCCTAGTTGACCCAAGCATGTCTTAATTAAAAAAAAAAGAGGACAGATGTATATGAATGTCATGTGTCATACCTGTTATAGCACCTATGGTAACATTTAAACATTCAATGCAAACCCTGTAATAACCTGCTTCATCCTCAATAAAACAAAGAATTACAAAAAAAAAAAAAATGTAGGTCTGGGTCTTGTGATTCACAATATAAAGCTCTTCGCTGTAGGATTTATAGTTTTTAAAATACGACCGTTTGAAGATGGCAACCGCCAAAATACTCTGACCTGTGCCAGGCTGCAGCAGCAAGTGATGTCATAGACAGGGCCTTTTGAACACCTGCTAATATTTTTATAAATGGTTTAATGTAACTGTGCAATAACGTTGCAATTAAATGTGCTATATAAATGATAACAGTTACTCAGCCCACTCCAGTTGTAGACTACTGGTGGAGGCAAGAACACTTCACACAATTTCCCCAGAAATTGTAGCTTTTTTAGTTCTTTGTTATTGCATTACGGCCTTTACTGCAACTCTGCCCTGCTCATTTTAAAAACATTTTTTGGATTTCTTAAATTACAAGATCAATATTGCTATGTTTTAGATGTTGGGTGACTTAGTTTATCCCTGTAAAACTGCAAGAATTGTAACCCTAGGTTTATGATGGGGCGGTATCCAACTGGCAGTTTTCTATGTATTCTAAGAGACCTTTTTATGAGACATTGCACCCCGGTGAGGGCAGTTGGGATTTCATAGTTTTAGTTTCTGTGTGAGTGGGTCTGTAATGGCTGGTTTGGCTCATTTTATATTGTTGTTTATATTGAATAAAGGAGCGTGACTTTTAAAATATCACACTTCACTTTTATCCAAAACTCTGTAAGGTTTGTACTCCTGCTGAGTCACATCTTTTTATTTAATTTGCCAGTTTCTCCATTCAAATACGTCACATCTAACATTGTAATATTGCTGAAGTTCACAGCACACTCGAATACATTGATCGCGTGATATAATTATTTTAGTGAAATATCTCCATGTCAAAAGGCAAATATATCTCCTGTATACACGATAGCTCTGAAATGACGGTTTTTATTTTGCGTTTCTACAATGCACCCTTAATGTCATCCAAACTATGTAACTGAGCACGATCTGTATTGTCATGCTGTCCCAGAGACCTTTGTGTTGCCGGGGGAGCTGTCTATGGGCCACTGATTCACACAGCTGTGGCAGCAGGTAGTTCTAGTAATCTCTATTTTTGGGTTTGTTAGTGTTTTTAATTGCTTTGTGGGGATATTTATGGGATGATAATTTTAAGCAGTCGAGAATTGCCCACTATTTCAATTCTCTTAGATCTTAGAGATCGTTTATCATGTAAGTGAAAAGTATTCCATACAATTAAATCACAATTTGTTATAAAAATAGATTTATTTTTATTGTAACAAATTAATTAACAATATTATTAGGCAACATGCATGATAATAATCAGTAAATATTTACTTACACGATTTTTGAGGGTATCCTTACAGACAAAAAGTGAAGCTTTTCACAGCGAAGGGCCATAAAACCTTGGCTAACAGTTAGAACAACTGAGTAACCCTTTCAATGCTGGCTAGATCCTCCTAGGCATATAGTATCCTATTCTCCTGTGATTTTCAATTGAAATAACATTCAAACCAGCTCATTAGTCATTTCCTGGAACCATCCAATAAGAATAATCTACCAGATTTTTACAAAAGCCGAATTTAATTTGTCTAAAAAAGATATCTTATCTTATTTTAGAGCAAATCAATACACCTGGATAAAAACAACGGTATGCTAACATGTGATAATATCACATCAATATATAATTCTTAATTTCACCTGCAGAATGGAATGTTTATAACTATGTATTCTTTAGTTAACTAAGATTTCTTAATATGGAAATCTGACCGTGATTTATCCAGTCATATATCATGCTATTAGTAAATTTTAATTAATTTAAATTAATTAAATAAAACCAGCATAGTTACCAGTTATGTAGATATTCTCATCAGATGAATAGGTAGTCCCAGAAACTTGATAGGTTGTATGGAAGTTCATGAGTAATAGTGAAAAGTAGTGTTGGTTAGAAAGTGTCAAAGAGTTTAAGAGTTTATGTCCAAGAGAGTTTAAGAGTAGAGTGTTAGTCCCAGATATTGTCCTGGATTTCTCTGCATGTATGACTTGGATGCCCAAACTTCAATTAATCTCTCTGTCTCCAACTACAACCTGTCTTCCCTTTGTCCTAACTTGTAAAGGGCCAGACTCTCTGTATGTCTGTTGATATAAATATTCTGACAGCTTGCATAAGTTTAACTCTTTCTCCTAGATATCGTGATGAGACTCCGGAACCTGTTAGCAGTTCTTTCCAGAACTGGGAAGATAACTCAGATGATTTCTGGAGGAAGGAAAGTGGGATCACGGATATCTCCATGTCTCTCGGGCACAAAACCTCCAGTTATGACGAAAGGTAGAGTTTTCAATCACCAGTAATTCTCATTTTCACCATCTCTATCTCGGGGTGTGCAATCTCCTGCTTCCAACAATGGATCTTAATGAGAGAAAGTAAAAATCCTGAATACGATATATTCTTAGTGGAAAGTGATGGGGAGAAAATTAATGGGGGAAATGCCTGATGGAGAGAGGAACTGTTGGCAATGTAAAAAAAAAAGTAGGAAACGTGTGAGTTTGCAAAGCCCTATGCTTCCCAGCTCCGGTCCAGAGGAATGTATGGTGAATATCTGCTGTGCCGCCACGCAGGTTACAATATAGAGAACTGGGAGCGAACCAGGCTGGAGACCATGTCGCTAACGGTGCTAATGGTTTTCTTTCAGACCCACAACCCGGCGAAAACCTGACCTGGAGCCAGCTTCCTCCACCGATGAAGCCCAGAAGAAGTTTGGCAGTGCAAAGTCCATTTCCTCAGACATGTATTTTGGAAAGCAAGACCACACTGAGGTGAGGATGTTTTTTATTTTTTTTTAAATTTTTTTTTATTGGTCTTTTTAATAGTAACACTTCACTGTGCACCTGGTAACGGCTCCAATTACACCGTCGAGGAATTCATTGACGTTTGAGCTCATGAAGAATCATGGGAAATCTACTTTACAACATTCATACCGAATTCCAATGTGGACCTTCACATGTATTTTAACAGGAAATATTCCATGTTTTCACTCTGTGGGCGGATTCTGCCGGGTACAATGTTTCAGCTTTAGATAAATGTGCATTTATAGAGAGAACATTTAAAAGATTTTCTTAAGTGTTGGTCAACAGCTTCACTATTTCTTGGCATGTGTAGGCACAATCCGTTAGCATGCATACCTTGTGTTTGGGGCATTTTCATTTTTAGTTTCTCCTTTCAGCAATGTGAGCATATGGTTAGTGACTGATTTAACGGTGTCATGGCAGGCACACAATAGAAGTTAGACTCTTTACAACAAACCTTTTCTTTTCAGCTATTTTTCTTCACTGATATATATATATATATATATATTTTTTTTATTAGTATGAAACTAGATCTAGACTGGATAGGATGTCTGGAAACTCATCCATAAGCTCAGCTGACCTGTTTGATGAACAAAAGCAACAGTCGGCAGGTAACTTAACCACATTATACAGTGACACAATTAAATTAAAAGAACTCCTATGTATTTCTCATTCAAATTCTTTTCATTTCTTTACGGTAGAACCCACATAGTATTAAAATATTATGTATCCAGTGGTTCCTTACCAGTACATTGATTGGTGCAGGTCCCCACACCTCCTATAACACACACTACCTGAGCAGCACACTCACTGCAGCTCCCCACACCTTCTATAACCCACACTACCTGAGCAGCACGCTCACTGCAGCTCCCCACACCTCCTATAACCCACACTACCTGAGCAGCACACTCACTGCAGCTCCCCACACCTCCTATAACCCACACTACCTGAGCAGCACGCTCACTGCAGCTCCCCACACCTCCTATAACCTACACTACCTGAGCAACACACTCACTGCAGCTCCCCACACCTCCTATAACACACACTACCTGAGCAGCACGCTCACTGCAGCTCCCCACACCTCCTATAACTCTCACTACCTTAGCAGCATGCTCACTGCAGCTCCCCACACCTCCTATAACACACACTACCTGAGCAGCACACTCACCCCAGCTCCCCACACCTCCTATAACACTACCTGAGCAGCACGCTCACTGCAGCTCCTCACACCTCCTATAACACACACTACCTGAGCAGCACACTCATCCCAGCTCCCCACACCTCCTATAACACACACTGCCTGAGCAGCGCTCTCACTGCAGCTCCCCACACCTCCTATAACTCACACTACCTTAGCAGCATGCTCACTGCAGCTCCCCACACCGCCTATAACACACACTACCTGAGCAGCACGCTCACTGCAGCTCCCCACACCGCCTATAACACACACTACCTGAGCAGCACACTCACCCCAGCTCCTTACACTACCTTAGCAGCACGCTCACTGCAGCTCCCCACATCGCCTATAACACACACTACCTGAGCAGCACGCTCACTGCAACTCCCCACACTACCTGAGCAGCACACTCACCCTAGCTCCCCACACCTATAATTCACACTACCTGAGCAACACGCACACTGCAGCTTCCCACAACTCCTATAACACACACTACCTGAGCAACACTCACCCCAGCTCCCCACACTACCTGAACAGCACACTCACTGCAGATCCCCACACCTCCTATAACACACACTACCTGAGCAGCACACTCACTGCAGATCCCCACACCTCCTATAACACACACTACCTGAGCAACACGCTCACTGCAGATCCCCACACCTCCTATAACCCACACTACCTGAGCAGCACACTCACTGCAGATCCCCACACCTCCTATAACACACACTACCTGAGCAGCACACTCACTGCAGATCCCCACACCTCCTATAACACACACTACCTGAGCAGCACACTCACTGCAGATCCCCACACCTCCTATAACACACACTACCTGAGCAGCACACTCACTGCAGATCCCCACACCTCCTATAACACACACTACCTGAGCAGCACACTCACTGCAGATCCCCACACCTCCTATAACACACACTACCTGAGCAACACGCTCACTGCAGCTCCTCACACCTCCTATAACACACACTACCTGAGCAGCACGCTCACTGCAGCTCCTCACACCTCCTATAACACACACTACCTGAACAACACACTCACTGCAGCTCCCCGCACTCCTATAACCCACACTACCTGAGCAGCACGCTCACTGCAGCTCCTCACACCTCCTATAACACACACTACCTGAGCAGCACGCTCACTGCAGCTCCTCACACCTCCTATAACACACACTACCTGAACAACACACTCACTGCAGCTCCCCACACCACCTATAACCCACACTACCTCAGCAGCACACTCACTGCAGCTCCCCACACCACCTATAACCCATACTACCTGAGCAGCACACTCACTGCAGCTCCCCCACCACCTATAACCCATACTACCTGAGCAGGAATTTTACGGAGAGGTTTGTTTTGTTTTTTTTCCTCTTTTTGAAGGAGCCTGACTTTGGGGTAATGTAGTTGAAATATGTTTTATCTTTTTTTTTTTTTTTTTAAGGAAATTATACATTAACAAATGTTTTGCCGTCAACACCAGACATGGCAAACTTTAAGCAAGGTGTGAAGTCTGTAGCTGGCCGCCTCTCTGTTCTTGCCAATGGCGTGATGACTTCCATTCAGGTTAGTGGTCTATTCATTTCTAGATCTTCCATTTAGAGGAACAAAAGATAACGCAGCCCTTTTATCTACGTGCATTCACTTCTTTTTATTACATGACAGACTTGCCTTTATGTTCATAAAATGTGTTCTCTCCTTGCAAATGTTAACTTTATAGAGTGTGACAAGGTTAATCCGTACGATCTTAACTAGCACTTTTTGTGTTTCAGGACCGATATGGATCTTAATTAGTGAGCCTCAAACATGCATAGCTTGGAAACATCAAAGGATGAAGAATCCACCAATGTTTGGATGTTTTTATTTTGATAAAGGATGTGTTTTTTTTTTTTTTTTTTCTTCCTCTCTTTAAATGTTACTTGACACTTTGCATTAAGGGTTCATATCTTGTGAGTTGGAGGACACTCACCTCTCGATAAGCTCCTTTTAGTATCCGATGGCTTATGTTGTAATTCAGTTCTAAACTCCATTTAGCACATGACTGATTAAATATTACCTAGTGTAATGGATTTGGTATTTTTTAAACCCCCCCGCCCTCCCCCTTTCAGTGCTGTTATCTCTCCACTGAACACACGGAAATCCTGGCACACCTTCTCTCTTTGCTGCAAAGTCCTTTTTTTTTTTTTGGCTATTAGTCTTGTCAATTTACATACAGCTAGAGGGGTGTGGGCAGGTATTAAATAATGCGGCCTGCGTAATTAATTGCTTTATTCTCTGATGGCAATGGAAAGCGGACCCTTCAAAATTTCATTCCAGGACAATTCACATATAAAGAGCCATTCATCTTTAACAGTTTTCGAATTTTAGATAAACCTTCCTTAAAACCAGGAAGGGCAGATGTAAATATTTTTTTCCTTTTTGTTTATATATAACTTTAACATTATCCCCAATAATGACACTAAATAAAAGGATCCATTTAATTTATGTTTTGCTTAGATTATTGTTGGTCATTAGAGAGGTAAGGTGACAAAATCCGATTCCTTAAAGAATTGATTTCAGGCGGATTTGTCCTCTGTATTCTGCTATTCTGAGTGTTTTTATAATTTCTATGTTGAGGGAAGAGCAGCTCCCTGATGATTACAAAGATTAGGAGATTTAATTACAAATCTGTAATACCAATTTGTTTGTAAAACATACAAAATATTTCTATGCTGTAACCACTTTGCAAACTGTGTATCGGAAATGTTTGGTGTTTAATCTCCCTGTGGGCTCCTTTTTGGCATCTTAAATATTTACACCATGTGGTAATAGGACTGTGCCACGTAATCCATCTCTTCAAATCTCTGATCCAGGGTTGTCCAGGACTACAATTCCCATCATTCTCTGGCAGCCAACGGAATATATTCCACTTGGGTGTTTCTGCTTTAACAATAGAATTATCGGAACTCTAGTAGTTAATTTGTACAAAGCAATCAGCTGAAGACCCATATCAAAACAAGATTTGAACTACTTTTATTTAAATTCCGAATGTTTCATATTTTTTTGTCCCACATTAATTTTAAATGTGTTATGGTGGGTGAATGGCTAAGGCTGGGACAGGCCCTCTCTGACACCCTGTCCTTTGGATTAGATGGTTATGCTTGCAAGCCAGACTGCTGTTTATGGTGTCAGTTTGCCTGTCCCTGGGTATGTGATTCATTTAATGGTAAACTTGTTAATAGTGGTTTCTCGTCCTCTAATTCTGGGCTTATGTGTGTCTGTTGTGTTTTATTGTCACTGCATAAAACACAACAATTAAATTTAAATACCACTGTGTGGTCACATTAACGTTGCCTTAGACTTGATGTCACCTTTTCCAATGTTTGGTGTTACAATTAACAGCTTTAAATGAAACCTAACGAAGATCTAATCGGGGAAGAGCCACTAAGGCTGCTATTTTAATATGGAGACAATCAGACATAGATGTAAAATGCTATTTGTGTAGATATATGCAATGTTCATATATTCAGAGTAAGGGGAGCTTAGTCACTACTGCTTTATAGACATCCAAGTAATGCATTTTACTGTTAATATAAATGATTTCATGCAAATAGATTTGAACTATAGATTTATTTTTTTCTCCCCTCCCCCATTATTTTGATTTTATTTTGTATCCCAATTGAACCTGCTGTGTTTTAGACAGCGGATCGATCCCTGGCTTTTTAATTGTAATTTTTTTTTTTTTTTTACCCCTGTGTCTTTATTTGTAATTCCGAGCTTTGAATTTGAGTTCTTTAATAAACATTTTATTGCAGCAGAACATTTTTGACTCTGGTTTTGTAAATCTACATGGTCTGTGTGAAGGTTTTAAAATTTGTGATGTGATGCAGGAATGGAGGGAAAATGTTATTAGTAATATTAATATATTGATCCACAAATGGCGATTACTCGTAAAGCTTTACTGATCTGCCTTGACTCGGTTCTTGGTTGTTTAAAAGTCAAGAGATTAATTTTGCATAAATAACCTCCATAAATTCTACTAATTAGCAAAGCTTTATAGGGTGATGGCTTAATTAGCAGGAAACATTTTAATCTTAACTCATACATTTTGTTTATTTCTATTTTCATTTGTGTATGAGGAACATGAAAATAACAGGACCTATTTATTTTCAATGATTGAGAGTACCATCGTGTGGCGAAATTAACCTCGCCACTTGTGCCTGGAGAGGACTACTTGCCAGCATCTTGCCTTTAGACCATGTTGAAACACTGGATTTTCCCCTGCAAAGACTCAAAAGCCGGGTCATTTGGTGCTTGCCCTGTTTGAGTGATGATACCCCAGATAGCTATGCCATGGAGCCCATTCGTATAATGAAAGACTTTGGCTCCATGGCAATTGAACTGTATGTGTGTGATCTGAATGCCATTCAGTAATGTGCGCTCAGATCTGAGCTATCTGGTGATATGTTGAATGTACCTGTTTTGTGCAATGGCTGCACAGTTATATAGTTTTATTTATTTTATTGTAAGTTACAGTATATGTGTAAAAAGTGTATTTTTCCTGCCTGTGATAAATTACATTAACCCATTGTGTACCATAATTATGTCACAGGCAGAGGGGAGGGATTGTATTTTGGTGCTGAGTGTGTTTTTACGGTTTGCCTGTAAAGGATTGGTTGTACTGTGTCCCACCCTGTGGGATGTCCCCTTGCATGGGGACTTGCATAAAAAAACAGCGTGTGGTCATTAAAAGATCAGATAATCTTGTACCTTTCTTGAAGCCTTGGCTTGTGTTTGGGGAATTGGAGAACTACACTCTGGGGATTGCTATAATCACAATACTCTCCAAGATATGATCACTAAGCTCTAAGAGCTTGTTCCTGCTCTCTGTGGAAAGAGAGGTTAACCCACTGGAAGCTAGATCCTGGGCTTGGGTCCAGGGTGGGTGGAGACAGCGAGACCCCGGCGCAGCTGCATCGCTGAAAGTGGGGGTCTACAGTGCTGATGGTGTCAGTTGGAGTGCTTGGAGTCCTCAGCGAGCACTAGGAGCATCGATTAGCGGAGGTACGAAGTCGGAGTGCCAGCGGTCCGTCACACATCGATTGGAAGTAGAAATCTGAGAACTGAGCAACGTCTTCCTGGAACCCTCACTGTGTGGACATCAGCCTGAACCACTGTCCTGCAGATAATGGCTCAATGTACAGCAACAAATAATGGGTCATATAGGCCCAGGAACAATTAGAGGAAAGTAAGAGAGGAGGGAGAATGCATGAGAGGGGTAAAATGGTTTGATCCAAGCCCAGCCTTTAACTCCATTTTATAACTGGTTTGGGGCGGCACTGTCTTGGTGGACCTGCAACATGTTTATTAGTTGACCAAATCTATGAAATTTACTTAATTCTGCAGAAAGTTTCTTTCAGTGAAACTTAATCGACAAAGTAATTGGACAAAGTCGAATCATTCAATCTAAAATACTTTTACAATCTCAATGGCAAAATTATGTATATATATTGTATGATTCCCTATTGCAACAATGCAGTAAAATATTTTATTTATAAATAAACTGGCCAGCTGGTGACATTGGATACGGAGTGTCATTGTCCTGTGAAACCCAAGTAACTGCTATTTTATATATTAAAGGGACACTGCAGGCAAACACACGTTCAATGACAGTTCGTTATACCGGGTAGGTTTATATTATTAAAGGGACACTCCAGGCTCCCACACACGTTAGATGCACTGTGTAGGTTAGGTTACAGTTAGTTATACTGGGTGGGTTTATATTATTAAAGGGACACTCCAGGCTCCCACACACGTTAGAGGCACTGTGTAGGTTAGGTTACAGTTAGTTATACTGGGTGGGTTTATATTATTAAAGGGACACTCTAGGCTCCCACACACGTTAGGTGCACTGTGTAGGTTGCGGTACCGTTAGGGTTTTGCAAACCACGCTATCCAAATGAAGGACCCAGTATTTTTATTACCCCTTCATTCCATATTACGTTAGTTTTTTTTTTCCTTTTAATACAAAAGATGTACACACATGTAACATCAATCTAAAATTAAGAGCCTATCCCAAAATAAATCATGCAAATTAAACTTGATGACAGAAGTCCAGGGGTAGTATGTTAAACCGTAACACATGTAACACATATAGCCAGGTTAGATGCACTCAATACCTCCAAAAATGCTACAGAACTGCTGAACGCTGTTGGAGAAAGTCTCACTGTGTATCTGACTTTCTCCACTATAAATTTATGCTGAGCTCATACAGCTTGGCTCTTTCCTCTGCAAAAGTTAATTACTTCAATACCCTCATAACCACACTCTCCGGCGAACCGAAACGACTATTTCACACATCTAACTCTCTTCTTCGCCCTGCTATTCCTCCTCCACCTACTAACTTAACCGCCTCAGACTTTGCAACTCACTTCACTGACAAGATCTCTACAATACGAGAAGAGAAAATCTCTCTTCTTTCTACAACCCCCTTACAATACTTCCCCTAACTTCACTCCCTCTGCTGTTCTATATTCATTCGCACCCGCTACATTGGAAGAGGTTTCTGCTCTGCTCCAGTCCTCCCGCCCCACCACCTGCTCCCTAGATCTAATTTCCCTCACATCTCATCCGTACTGTCTTCTTCTCTTTCTCCACCTCACTAAAATTCTCAATCTTTCTCTCTCCTCTGGTATATTTCCATCGCCCTTCAAATATGCAACTGTAACCCCAATTCTAAAGAAGCCCAATCTTGACCCTAACTCCCCATCCAACTATCGTCCTATCTCGCTACTGCTTTTTGCATCTAAGATCCTTGAAAGAATTGTGTATGCGAGATTGACAGACTTCCTCGAGTCCAACTCTCTGCTAGACCCGCTGCAGTCTGGTTTCCGGGCTAAGCACTCTGTGGAAACTGCACTGACCAAAGTATCCAATGATCTACTCGCTGCAAAATCTCGTTGTCGCTACTCTATCCTAATTCTCCTTGACCTGTCTGCGGCTTTAGACACTGTTGATCATCAATAGTTTCTTCTCATCCTCCAATATCTGTCTACAAGATATTGCTCTCTCCTGGTGCCCCTCCTACCTCTCCCAGCTCTCTTTCAGTGTTTCTTTCTCTGGCTCTGCTTCTTCTCCCTCTGTTGGTGTTCCACAAGGTTCAGTCCTTGGTCCCCTACTATTCTCCCTCTATACTGCCTTCCTTGGTAAACTCATTAGCTCCTTTGGCTTCCAATATCATTTCTATGCAGATGACACGCAAGTCTACCTGTCCTCTCCTGATCTCTCCCCGTCCCTCTTGACTATTGTCTCTGACTGCCTCTCTGCTGTTTCTAACTGGATGGCTGCCCACTTCCTTAAACTAAACTTGACCAAAACTGAAATTCTGGTCTTTCCTCCCTCAAGTGTTGTTACTCCTGTGTCTGTCTCCCTCCAAGTCTACGGTGCTACCATCTTGCTGCCTAAGTGTTCTCTTTGACTCTGACCTCTCCTTCAAGCCTCATGTTCAATCTATCGCCAAATCCTGTCATTTCCATCTCAAAAACATTGCGCGCATCCGCCCCTACTTAACACTAGATGCAATTAAGGTGTTGGTCCATTCCACTGTCCTTTCTCGCCTTGACTACGGTAATCTGCTTCTCAGTGGTCTTACGTGCTCCCAACTTGCGCTGCTACAGTCCATAATGAATGCAGCGGCGAGGCTCCTCTTCCTGTCCGCCCGCATCTCCCATGCCTCACCCTTCTGTCAGTCCCTACATTGGCTTCCTATAAAATATAGAGCTCAATTTAAAATTCTGGTTCTTGCTTTAAAATCTCTACATAAAGCTGCTCCCACCTATCTATCCTCCCTTATTCACAAGTATGTCCCGTCTAGGCCCTAACGATCTGCTGAAGACTTATGTCGATCTTCTGTCCGTACTCCCACCTCTGATGCTCGCCTTCAAGATTTCTCGAGGGCTGCACCGTTCCTGTGGGACTCGCTTCCCTCCTCCGTTAGATGCTCACCCAGTCTCCACTCCTTCAAAAAAATCATTAAAACCCACTTCTTGATAAAAGCGTATCAATTAAACTGATAATAGCTCCCGACTGATTCCTCTTTTGCAACTGTCACTAGTCTAATACTATCCTTACCTTGTGTCATTTTACCCCACTCCCTCTAGCATGTAAGCTCATTGAGCAGGGCCCTCAACCCCTCTGTTCCTGTGTGTTCAGCTTGTCTTGTTATAACGACATGTCTGTTCCTCTAACCATTGTAAAGCACTGCGGAATTTGATGGCGCTATATAAATATAATAGGTCTCCCCCGCCGGATGACATGGGCGGACACTGACCCACACGTGTGTGTGTATTACTGTCAGGATCACATCAATTTACGTCTATTACCTTTACCTCGTTTAGTGTATCTTGTCTCCAATAGTCTCCTTTTTTTTTTTCTTACAGCGACCCTTGTGCATCTTTTACTTCATCCCAGTCCCTGTGTGTTTCTTTTTACACTTCTCCAGCCTCTGTATTTCTCTTTGCCCCAGCCCCTTTTGTGTTGTTCTTAGCCCCAGCCACTTTGTCTCTTTCTCCACTTTCAAATCTCATGTCTCTTTCTAACTCCAGATTCCGTGTGCCTCTTTCTCTTCTCCCAGTCACTCTCTGTCTTTTTCCCCAGCCCAGCGTTGCCTCCCACAAATCTTGTCACTTTGTTCCCCTTCCCTACTGTATGTCTTTGTCCCCCAACAAACCTTCCGTGTGTCTCTCTTCCCCATCTCCTCCCTGTCTCTCTCTCTTACCCCTCTATCTCTGTGTCCCCCCTTCTCCTGTGTCTATTACCCCTCTCTTTGTCCCCCCAAACTCCTATTACCCCTCTGTCTCTGTCCCCCCATCCCCTGTCTCTCTATTACCCCATCTGTCTGTGTCCCCCCTTCCCCTGTCTTCTCTACCCCCTCAGTCTCTGTGCCCCCCTTCCCCTGTGTTTCTATTACCCCCTCTATTTGTCCCCCCATTCCCTCTCTTTGTCTCCCCTTTTCCATTTGTCCCCCCATTCCCCTCTTTTGCCCCCCTTCCCCTCTTTTTCTCTCCCCCCTCCCCCTCCGTGTCCCTTCTGACCTCGTTACAGGAGGACTGAGGGAGGGGACGGAGCCAATAGTAATCCCTACTCTGTGATGTGTAGATGCTGGGAATTCTGGGAACCGCAAGGGAGCATGGTAGCTAGCTCCGCCCCCTCCCTCAGTCCTCCTGTGCTGACAGCCACATGGCTGTCCGTATCAGTGAGTGTGCTGCTGGATTGCTTAGGCGGCCGCCCGGCACAATCACTGATACTGACAGCTGATACTGATGGGGCCGCCGGCCGCAAGGTGAGTAATCACCTCAGTGTGCCGCCGGACCGGCCACCCGGCGGCACCGACATGCGGCCAGCGGCCGCGATATTATCAGGTGCTGTGGCCCACCGGGAAATTTCCCGGTATCCCGGTGGGCCAGTCCAGCCCGGTTTACAACTATAGTGGCCGTTAAAAACGATCTATAACAATTATTCCGAGATGAATGATATATAAGAGAAACATTCGGTTAGACCCAGAGGTGATCAGGTTTTCAGTTTGTATATCCAAAAACTTTCTCTTTGGAGAAGTTTCTTGTTTAGGTCCCAACATTACTCTTTCTATGCCTGAGAACCGTATTCCCTCTGAGGACCCCCCATGATGTAGTTTCAGATGCTTAGAAACAGCGGTGTCAATCAATCAGTCTCCTCGGATTTAT